TCTCTCGCATAAATTAGTACTGGTAGACTTTTACCGCACCAGGACATCACACAAGCGATTAAACACCCGATGACACAGAGTGCCACCATGTGGATGAGGATCACCCGTGGAGAGGTCCCAGAAACCGCGTTCAGCCATTTGGCCATATTTATGGCCGGGCTATATTGCGGCTCCTGGCAAGAGCCAGAGCAGGGCTTCAAATAACGAAAAATGTCATTCTAAAAAGGACTTGAATAGGTCAATAATTCGCATAAATGCTCCGTGCCTATTTTTAGCAACCGGCACAGATGTTCAATTCCCATGGTGAAAGAAGCAGTCTGTTTGTCTTCTTATTTAGTTCGCCTGAAATAAGTTGTCTATATCAGCAATTTTGTCTCTTGTATAAATTTCACTGTCTTCGTTAGTTCATTCAGTAGTCCATAGAGTTTACGTTCCACTGTTCTTCTTTCTGGCCAAAAGGTTTCCCTTAAGTGTCAAATTCAGTGCAGTCCTGCAGTGCATGCTCTGCTGTCTGGGGCACCTTTCCACAGGTGCACATGGCTGATACGCCTATCTTGAATTTTGTGTATATGTCGTTACGTAATCAGTTGTGCCCCGTTCCGAGGAAGAGGATCTGCTTGTATGTCCGTCTTGTTTCTCTTGTGAGTGTTGCGTCTTCGTCAGATCGCAGCGGGTAGTACCTGTGTGATCTGGTCAAGACGCAACACTTTTTTAAGCTCCATTCTGGTTGCTGCCAAGGGTCTGCCAATGACCTGCCGGTTGAAAGCGGGTTTCTGGGACCTCTCCACGGGGGATCCTCATCCGAATGGTGGCAATTTGTGTCACCGGGTGTTTATCGCTTGGTGGATGTCCTGGTAGGGTAAAAAGTCAGCCAGTCTTTTGTCTCTCAACACAGAGCCAACTTTATGGATATATTCATATCATTTGGGTAGCAGTTGTTACAAATCAGTTGCTAAAGCTTTAAATCTGCAGTGCCAACTGGTTTATCGCTGCATTGCCGGGCCCGTGTGATTAGAACTCTATACAAGTCTAAATGTTGTTCGGACACTTTGATGCACTCCTCTGATCGCCGAATTTGCCCGCCAATATGCCTATCTGTGTTGTCAACTTGTGCCATCCAAAACACAGGCGAGCAGGATAGATACCACGGAGGGATGCTGGAATCAGGCGCCTCTGATCGACAAACCAACAATGTAGATTTAAGATAACCCCTTCAACTCCCAAAGAAGTTATAATTAGGGCACACATAACAGCTACACCGGCCAGGTGGAACTGCAGTCCTAGCCGGGTGAGGACCGCGGCACCTCTGTATGAGACGGAAGAACCTGGCAGAAGATCAGGCTGTCACGGTGAACGGTTCGAGGTGGAATCATAATCATAAGCGCTCTCTTCTTCCTCTCACTCTCTGTCTCTCCCTCAACTGTTTACGTTCTCGTATAGAGAAAAAACTTTAAGTCAAGTCAAGTACAGGACTGACTGGCTGACTGAGAAAATATCAGACGTCAGAGCGGTAAAAACTTTATACACAGGGGAGATGAATGGTAGATGACTACGAGGCAGACTAAGAAGACGATGCAGAGACAATGTCCAGACAGACCTGCAAACACTTGGTGTCACCAACTGGAAAGAGAAGGCCAACCAGAGAAATGAGCGGAGGCGGGTGATGTCTGCAGCAATGAACCTCAAGGCTGGGAATGCTGAAGAAGAAGAAGAAGTAGTACATAATTTTATTTTACGCCTTCAGGCATACATGGCATTTAGTGTTAGAGACTATATTTCACAGACCAATCAGAAATCGGTAGGTGATGTGGTCAGCATCATGCCGGTCGCCTCTACTTCCCAGGATTTAATCTAGTGCCCATTTGAGACTGGGTCGACCTGGCAGATAAAGTCATCTTGAGAAAAAAAAAAAAAAAAAACCACTGGATCTGTTGGAATTTGAAACCACGACCTTTGGATCTGTATTCGACCGTCTAGCGGCTACGCCACGGCGGTTTCCTATGCAGACTGTAGAAAAGACTGAAAAATGGACAAACAGAGAATTCAGCAAAAGAGAAGAGAAGTCAGGGGTGGGGGAGAGATGTGGAAAAGGGCGTTGGGGGACAATAATTAAATATGAGTCAGAGGTTTTTGAAGTGAATAAATATTTAATATCTCTTTTCTATTTATAGCATAGTTTTTACATGTTTTTTTTTTTTTTCAATATGTACAAAAAGAATGTTAATATTCACAGTTTCAGTGGAAACATTTCAAGACAATATTTCAGCGCACACACACTGGCACATCTTGTCAAACTAACAATTACCACATATACATTCCCACATCTTGTCAAACTGACAATTACCACATATACATTCCCACATCTTGTAAAACAAACAATTACCACACATACATTCCCACATCTTGTCAAACTAACAATTACCCTACTTCCACCCGTACCTCTTATCGAACTAAAAATTATCCCACACGCAACTACATATCTGGCTGAACTAAAAATTTCCCTGTACGCACCCACACATCTTGCCGAACTAAAAATTTCCCTGCACGCACCCACACATCTTGCCGAACTAAAAATTATCCCACACGCACCCACACATATCTTGTCGAACTAAAAAATTTCCCCGCACGCACCCACATATCTTGCCGAACTGAAAATCCCTCCACATGCACTGGCACATCTTGATGAACTAAACATTTCCCCACTCTCACCCACACAACTCGTGGAACTAAAAATCACCAAACAAGCACTCGCACATCATGATGAGTTAAACATTTTCAAAAAACGCGTAACATTCAGCATCGCATTATACATCAAGAATTCTGGACGGACAAAATGGCAGCTGTCTCCATTATACGAGTATACACTAGCACTGATTTTGTAGAGAAAAAAAAAATAAAAGTAAGTAATTTAATTAACATTATTGATATACAACTATGTTTAAAAAAGCAAAAATTTTGAGACCCGTTTGTATGTGTATTTGTGTATAAATGTGAGAAAGATATTTGTAGACAGACTGGCAGGCAGGCAGACAGACATATATATAGATAGATAGGCAGGCAGATAGACAAGCAGACAGACGTATAGATAGATAAATAAATAGATAGAGAGAGAGAGAGAGAGAGAGAGAGAGCGCGCGAAAGAGATACTTAAACACAGGGGAGATAAATAGACAGACAGACAGACAGACAGACAGACAGACAGACAGACAGACAGACAGACAGACAGACAGACAGACAGACAGACAGACAGACAGACAGACAGACAGACAGACAGACAGACAGACAGACAGACAGACAGACAGACAGACAGACAGACAGACAGATAGATAGACAGATAGATAGATAGATAGATAGATAGATAGATAGATAGATAGATAGATAGATAGATAGATAGATAGATAGATAGATAGATAGATAGATAGATAGATAGATAGATAGATAGATAGATAGATAGATCATATTCCCTTATTTCAGTCTCTCTCTCTCTCTCTCTCTCTCTCTCTCTCTCTCTCTCTCTCTCTCTTCATTTCTTTTCACCCATCTCTTGTTTCTAGTTTTTTGTGTCTCTCTCTTTCTTTCTACCTGTCAATGTCTCTACCAATCTCACTATTTATTTCTCACCCGCCCAAATATCCATCTCTACCTTTTTCTCGTTCTTCATTCATCCACATTTCCTTCTCTCTTCTTTTTTTACTTCAACAGTAACTTCTTATACCTCAAATTATTTGTGTATGCATGACTTTTCTCGGTTTTTAACTAAAGGACACAAAAACAACAACATAACATGTTCATATTCCATAAGTACATGGAACTAGTAACTAGTCACAATATTCCCATTCATATGCTAGCCTTGCAATGTTAAAATTACTTTAACAATGTAACCTAGACATATGTACAAACACATTTAAAATAAATACTATAGAAAGATTCTTAGAATACTTTAGACAAATAAAGAAAAGATATACTGATACCCTAAACATTAAGGAAGAAAGGATAGTAAACAGCATTTTGTCTCGGAAACTGAATAGGAAGGAGGGTTAGGACCCCACCAGCATGAAGATGGGCTCATGGTTTGAGAGAAACCTTGGGTAGAAAAGTGCTCAAGACAGGAGAGCTGGCGAGAGATCGAGTTTCCTTTAGACAAACCGCGACGAACACGCCATTCTGCAAAGTACTTACTACATGATGATGATGATAACATTCAAATTCAGTATAAATAATCAAAGTAAATGCACAATATCTACATTATATATCCACATAAATATTATGTATACAACATATTTACATTGACTCTCTAAAAGTTTTAAAATAATTTATTATTCAAATTATTATCCAACATTGTAACTGTAGCTTAAAAGGTTACTGCTTTTTTTTGTGTGGCTTGTTTAAAAAACGCTATTATTAATATCAACAAAAACAACAAAATTTACAATGCAATTATAAAAATGAGATTCACATCAAGTCTTAAATAATAAGCAAAATCAACAATACAGTATTGAAGGTGGAAATAAAAATAATAATAAAATGGCAGCGTTCTGCTTTCTAATGGCCAGTGGTTTTCAAAAGTTCTAGCTTGTCTCGCGAAAGCAACAGAACAAACTAAATCATTCAAGAATGTAGACAATAAATGTCACCTGCTGGTTAAAAAAAAAATAAAGGTATTATACAGACGCTGCCCACCTAAAGACACATTTGAAAACTACTGACTAACTGACTGACTTTCTACCCTACCAGGACATCACACAAGCGATTAACACCAGATGACACAATGTGCCACCATGCGGGTGAGGATCACCGTGGAGAGGTCCCAGAAACCGCGTTCAGCCTTTAGGCCATGTTTATGGCCAGGCTATATTGCGGCCCCTGGCAAGAGCCAGAGTAGGGCTTTAAATGACGAAAAATTTCATCCTTAAAAGGATAAGAAGTATAACGATTATCAGAAAACTACTGACCAATACCATCTAAATTACTTACACAATTTTAACACAATTATGGGATCATCATAAAGGCATGCAAAGTGAAGTAAGGAAATATAAAAATACGATATTAGCTATAAGCGAAGACACAACCAGCATGGCGCTGGCTCCATGGCAACGCCGGAACATCCTGTAAGACTGGAAGTATTGTGGGTTCTGCTTGAGCTCCTTCATGTCGGCATAGCCAATGACGTCGCGGACACCTGCTTCAACCTCCATGGAAAATGTTTTCAACATGGCGCTGACAATCAGAGGCGAGACCACTAGAGAGTTTAAGGCTGCGGTTAAAAAGCAGACGCTTAGAGAAACTCCCTGAAACAAAACAATGAAAACCGTTAAACACATGTCAATATTTTGCCACAAAGTACAAGAGGCAGCTTCATATAAAGATTGTCACACAAAATGTTCAAGGCTAGAAATTAGCTAATATTTTCGGTTCTTTTCTGTTATTTCACCTCAGATTTGGTAGGGAAATTCTCAGACCGACCCACAGTATAGGGAAGTTAAGGTTCGACTAAGCAGTAGTCGCTATTGATTTAACACTAACCCTAACCCCCCCTATACTATGGGACAGTCTGGGGATTTTCCTACCAAATCTCCAAGTCGGCATGATGTGGTGAAATAACAGAAAAGAACCATATTTTCACCTCAGTTAGTAAAATAATAGAGCCAGAGGTCGACCACACAGAGGATGGACCACAGAGAAACAAAGACAATGAAAAGGTACTATATACGAGTCGAACAGAGGGCCCGTTCCAGCAATCTCTTCCTACCCAGACAACGCCAGGCATTCCAGAAGTCGAGAAAAGAAGAAGAAGAAGAAGATATTGGTTACAAGTCAAAATATATTATAGGAAAGATTGTGGAAGGTAAAGTCGACCCACACCACGATTCCTTACCGGCTGATCTGTGCCTGGGTGCCAGGTTCGATCCCAGCTGAGGACGATTTTGCAACAGAACGTCTTGTATTTTTTTTTCGACAGTGGTACTGAGAGCTGACCGTTCATGGGAATGACAAACTACTAAACGTAACATTTGCATTGAAACACCACAACAGGAAAAAAAAAAAAACATGCTTGGTTTGTTAAAAACTGTCACAGCCTTACCTGAATGTAATGCGCCCTATCCCAGGTGTCCAGCGGGTGCTGGATGAGGAACGTGGACAAGGTGATGGCCGAACAGACTAAACTCCACAAAAAGAACATGGGGAACAGCCGGGACTGGACTTTGCCAAACATATGTCTGGGCAGGCTGTAGAACATGGTCAGGCCTGTGGGACATAACAAGAGAAACGTTTATGGTTAGGTTGACAAAAGGGTTGATAATCTGAAAGCATTATAAAATAATTATGCAAAGGGGGGGGGGGGGGGGGTGTCCTCTTTCAGAGGGACCGACACAACGAAAACATTGAGATAGGTTCAGTCCCTACCCCTAAAAACGAATGAGCCTGCCCTTTGCTTAACTGAGTAAAAAAAAAATAAAAAGAATAATAATAATATACAAAGAAAACATTGGGGGTGAGTTCAGACTTCGTTGTGTTGATGCCGGGGAGCCACTTTTTGTAGAGAAAACAACTGACGCACTGCCTTCCTGTCGGCTTAGGTATTGCGAACGCGCTTCGTAATGCCGGGGTGCCGGTTTCGATCCCAGCTGCGGGCCTTGCTCCTTGCGTTGGTTTCGACAGTGGTATCGAGAAGCCGACCATCTAGAAAGCTATGGCAAACTACTGAACATGAAATTCGCCCAGAAAAATCACAACGGCCTAACAATGCTGGAGCTGGTTCCGCAAGGACCTTTAAAGGATACGCAACTAACTGCTCTCATGACAAGCATTTCATAACAGTCTTCTATATAGGGATGTTTCCTTCGGAGTCAGAATGGGCCTGCCTGAAGGGATAAGAACCAACAGACAGACAGACAGACAGACAGACAGACAGACAGACAGACAGACAGACAGGCAGGCAGGCAGGCAGGCAGGCAGGCAGGCAGGCAGGCAGATAGGCAGATAGGCAGATAGGCAGATAGGCAGATAGACAGATAGACAGACAGATAGATAGATAGATAGATAGATAGATAGATAGATAGATAGATAGATAGATAGATAGATAGATAGATAGATAGATAGATAGATAGATAGATAGATAGATAGATAGATAGATAGATAGATAGATAGATAGATAGATAGATAGATAGATAGATAGATAGATAGATAGATAGATAGATAGATAGATAGATAGATAGATAGATAGATAGATAGATAGATAGATAGATAGATAGATAGATAGATAGATAGATAGATAGATAGATAGATAGATAGATAGATAGATAGATAGATAGATAGATAGATAGATAGATAGATAGATAGATAGATAGATAGATAGATAGATAGATAGATAGATAGATAGATAGATATTAAACACATTACTTGTTTGCTTACCTGCTATCAAGGTCACCCAAAGCTGAGCTCCGAAGTTGGCGCCAAAACTGCCCAGATGCATCATAGCGTTAAGTATACTTGGTGACTCGGTCCGTCTCCGCGAGGGGTAGAGAAGGAAGCTTGCCATGCATATCACAACTACCATGGCAAAAAATTGAAAGTGGTGTATTCTGGGAAAGACAGTAGCAGGTAATTAGACATGATCGACTTCTTTCTTGATTAGAAAGCTTGATAACCAAAGTATTTAAGCATGCACATGAATGAACGTTTCGACCAGATTTTTTAAACATTACAAAAAAAAAAAAAAAAAAAAAACTTGGCTGGAGAAGCACTCCAATTTACACAATAATCGTCATCACCAAGTGACTTGCCGACTCTTCACTATCTGCGATCTTTACTAGCCTGTATCAGTTCATGTGTTGACACCCTCCATGCCATGATAAAAAACTGTCAAGAATCTTCTCGCGCTGTCTTCCTCTGACTCTTTTTCCACAGATCTTTCCAGTTGTCACAACATGTTCCAGTTTACTTCTTATCTTAACATAACCAAATAATGGTAACAGGTCTCTTTCTGGTGATTGTGATAAGTTGTCTTCGAGTACTCACCTCTTTCAAAATATCTAGGTTGCTCTTTTAGGCTGTTTAAGGAATTCTCACAACTCCTTGACGTCACGAAATTGTTTGGCTGCTTTATTAATTGTCCAGAATTCACAGCCATATGTTAAAACTGGCTCTATATAGTTTGCGATAAATTCGCAGATTACCATCCGAATATCAAATCTGTTTACCCCAAGCAACGCATCTTATGGACTTAAGCTAACGTCCATGTGTATCAAAGCAGCACTCGGTGCGTTATTATTTTGGCAAGTTTGGTCTGAGTATGCAGCAGAAATCTGGCCAAATATTTTTTGAAAGTCATAGAATGATAATTTTTTCCCCCATTGCGATTATTGAGAAACATGTAGCTACTGTTTTGAAACCTTCTGGTACTGAAAGAGCCACATTGGGAAATAAAGCTACACAAGCTTTTCTCTATGAGCCCTATGTATATAGCCAGATAAAAAAGATAAATATAATCGTATGGGGTAAAGCACTCTTTCCCACGCTTTCAGACGTGTTGAGCATATCATGCTAGACGTATACATTAAGGTCAATTGAAACTCGGTGGGAGACGTCAACATCACACCGGCCTGCTTTACTTCCCAGGACTTTACCTGGTACGCATTTAAGGCTGGGTCCTAGAAGACGAGGTAATTTTTGAAAACAAGTCTGGATCTGTTGGGATTTGAACCACGACCTTCGGATCTACAGGCGAGCCAACTTAGGGGCGGAGGGGTTATCAAATGGTTGTTTAATTATCAAACAGTAATAATGTTAAAAATAATTAATAATAATAATTTGTGTGTGTGCTGAATGACAACCACATTAAATATTATATTTAAAATAATATGAGAAGTTGGTAAAAAAAAAACGTATTTCAAAAGATAACGTTTATACATGGTGGAATTTATTGGATTACATATTCACCAACGTTCTTCATTTTGTTGGTTTATCTGAGGCACCAACTGCCACAGGGAGCCACACCCACAAATCTGCATTTACATTATTGGTTATTTAAGGCAGTAAATAATACCTGTTACGAGTATCTATTGATATTTATTTATACATTTATTAATTTATAATTCAATATACCAGTCGTATGTCTCACCAGATGGATGAAATTCGCCTGTCTGGTTGACCCTCTTAACTAAGGCTTATATTTGGGTTAGGCCTTATATTACAAAGAGGGAGTCGCTCTGGTATAGCGACCAGACGCTCGCCCGCGGATCAGAAAGTCGTGTGTTCGGATCCTGACGAAGCCGGATATTTAAAAAAAGAGAGCTGGCTTCAAGGTCTCCCCAGCCTTGAGTGGGTACGAGGTGTAATCCTGGGAAGTAAAGGCGGCCAGCGTGATGCTGACCACATCACCCACCAAGTGCGATTTGTCTATAAACTATAGGTCTATCCCTTAACGCCCAATATGCAGTTTCCTTGATGTTAATTTTTTTTTAAAAGTTCCACTGATTTGAGAAAACAAGAAAGTTATTTTAGATTTGCTTGAAGACTGCATACACTACACCAAAGACGTAACATAGAGAAAACAGAGGACATAAGCAGACATAATATTTCACATACAAAAAGTAAACATATATTTACCTAAGAGCATCGAAGTTTCTGGATACTCGACTAGTGCTGCCCATTGCAATTGAGTTTATAAATATTTTTTTGTTAAATTTATTTTCGAGTTTGAATAATTATTTTCTTATATCCCGGATGATGATGTTCCTCACTTTTGAATAAGAGACCTAACCGCCGCCAAATGTGAATCCCGAACGCTACCAGAGTTGATATTTATAGATCAGTGGCTGGCGAGTTCATTGGTCGGTTCCACGCACCTGCTACGTCAAACGACCAATAAAACTGCGACTTTTATTACATGACCTCGAGACGAGGTCACAGTGCAGTCGTGCAAGGTCGCACGCAACCCGTACGATTTTCTCAGCCGATCTTTGGACGCACTTTCCCCGCGTATTGTGAAAAAACTGCGTTATTTGGACACACTCTAATTCAGTTGAACATTACATCTTTTGATTCGCAAAGGTGAATGGAAACAGGTACGCCATAACACTATAGAAAGAGGAGTGGTGCCCCTTAAGTGGACACAGGAGGGGAGTGCAGCTTGCAAGCACCATTCCGACGTGATTTCATCATCATTGTCGGCTACAAGAGGCGGGCTGGCTTATTTGTTTTACGTACGCATTCTATTTGATTGTGACAGGAAGGATTATCTCTTTCAGTACCAAACTCTTCACGAATTCCTTGGTTATTGGAAACATAATGTGATCTTGCTGTCTTCTGTCACATACAGGTGTTATATTAACCCTTTAATTCTAAATGATTAGTTGAACTACTTCTGCTTCACAGTATCTCCGTTGAGCTCGTTCAGACACACACTGGTTGCTTTTCAGCTCAAATTCTTGGAACAGAAAAGGTTAAAATAGTGACTGACTTTTCACCCAACTAGGACATCACACTGAGCGATAAACACCCGTGGAGAGGCCCTAGAAACCCCGTTCAACCGTTAGCTTTTATTAGGGCCCCTGACAACAACCAGGGCGGGGCATCATATTAACGAAAATGTCGTCCCACATTGTTTTAGTATCCAGAAGCCATGAGTTGTTAACCCTTAGGCTAGGTATTATAGATATCGCAACCTTTCGGTCTTGATTCCATTGTAAATACCGTAAATCTTGGAGAAATGTGGCTTTTCTGCCTACCCCCGGGACTAAACCCGGACCACAAGGAGTTCGTCTCCCCGTCACCGCGTAATCGGGTTTAGCCAGCTACGCTAGAGAGCCGGGCGGTCGTCCCACATAGGGGCGGAGAGTAAGGTTAAAAAAAAAAACAAGGGCTTGTGGCTGAAACTGTCGATAGTGTGAATGATGTGTGTGTTTACAAATTAAGAACTAGGTAGCATAATCTTCCCTCATCTGGGGATAGGCGATAAGGACGTACAAAAGAAAGGACATGCATGCTAAGAACACCTCGTGTAGTTGGTCCCATAGAAGGATACTGAAAGCTTCACAGATATTAAAAAATAAGTAGTCAAAAACAACTCCCCGTGTGGGTTCCGGTGCTCAATATGTGGGAAATAAGAACAGACCCACAGCCCACCTAATATGCATGCCGAAAACGCGACTAATTAGGGCTGTTTCTATGGAAGCCGAAGTGCGTCTGCATGTGAGGCATAGAACAAATAGTCTACACTTAAACAAGTCAGCTCTGTAAAACTGATATGTGCAGGTTCTGAAACAAAACCAAAGTCCAGAAGTGGACCGAACAGTCAGGACTTTCAGACAGAGTTTACAGCAGGTGAGCGCTAAGGTCACACACACACATACACACACACACACACACAAAGCAGCAGCAACAGCAGCAGCAACAACATCAACAACAGCTTATCACAAATATATGACACGAGCAGTCGTTACTTTTGACATGCTGAGAAAAGTTCGAGTTAAAGTGGAGAAAATCGACTTGATTGCACTGGTTTACCCCACACATGGTTCGGTCTCTCTCTCTCTACCCCTCTTACTGCAGATCATCTGACCCCTTTGGAAATATTGCACACGTCCATAAAACGAACCCACGATATTTAGAACGCCAGGCAAACTGCTTGACTTCGGCCTGTCATGAATACCACCCTTCGCCATTTGCCCCATTTTGAAAAAAGACTCACTGGAACATGTGACAATCGAATAGATTTATGGAAGAAGATGTAGTGTATAGCCATCCAGCAGAAATTTATACGTTTTTTTTTAAAGTTAAAGAAAAGCGCCAGCATATGAATTGAAGCACACTGTTGGGGATCGCTAGATGTATGTCGAATGGCAGTTGTTCCATAGTAGTTTTAACCTTCTGAAGCTAATCGTTGACGTTATATTTTCTACGGTTATATCATGTAGATTTTTGTTAAGACCCTCACGGGCAAATCCATCACTCATGACGTTAAGCCCGGTGACACATTTGAAAGGCTACGATTCAGGATAAAGAAGGTATCCCCACCTGATCAGCAGAGATTGATTTTTGCTGGTAAACAACTTGAAGATGAAAGCACTCTGTCAGATTGCAACATCCAGAAGCTGTCCACTCTTTACATGATGGTAGCGAGCAGCGCAAAAATAAGAATTTTACCAGCCCCCTCCCCCCTCCCCACAAAAAAAACAAGCACAAGAAGAAGACGGTAAAACTGGCTGTGCAATGTTGCCACTTTTCTTTGACAAAAAACATCCAAAACGGAGTCAAGAAATATCTAAAAACATCTAAATTTGCATGAAAAACGTCTAGAAAAAAACATCAAAATTTAAAGCGTCACAAATTACATAGCAAATTGAAATGACTTACCCTATAGAATCATGTCCTCAACTTTAATGAAGTCTGCCTCACAAGATCCACGGGATAAACTTAGCTTGGATGATGAAGTTGAAGCTTCAGATCCAAAATAACTCTGGTATGCTTTAGCTGTTCCAATTTCTTTTAATACCCAATCAGGGAGCTGATAAGTGGAACAGCCTTTTCCTACACTTATCAACCCGAATTTTATTGTCAAGATAGCATTTACGAGGTCAAATTTCATACTGTTTCTTATGTTAGATTTGATAAATTCACTCCAAATAAAAAACATCTAGAAAAACATCTACAATGTAACGTCAAAAAACGCCATCTAAATGCAAGGAATAAAATCCAAATCTGGATGTAAAACATCCAAAGTGGCAACACTGTGCCTGTGCTGAATCACTGTAAGGTTAACGAGAATGATAAAATCATCCGTCTGCAACGGTGATTGTCCCAACAGATACTGTGCTACTAGAGTATTCACTTAATAACCAACCCCAGCATTGTTTGGCTATTGTGTTTTTTTAAGGCAAATTTACGTCCAGTAGTTTGCCATTGCTCTGAACGGTCGGCTTCTCGATACCACTGTCGAAACCAACGCAAGCTGCAGGGCCCGCAGCTGGGATCGAACCCGGCACCCCGACATTACGAAGCGCGTTTGCAACACCAAAGCCTCAGAGACGCCGACTTCATAACATCCCATTTTGACAGACAGTACTGTATGAAGTGCTGTCTGACAAATATTCTCAATAATCCAAGAGTCGAAGCTGTATCTTAGATTTTGATTTCATTAAACGCATCAAAAGTGCAGAAATGATTATGCCAATGGTTTTCAGAAGAGAGGACACAAGTCTCTATGAAGTCAGACGCATGTCTGACACTGGTCCTATTTACGTTTCCTGGCCCATCTACACACTTTCTCAGGCTGGTGTAGGTCAGAGGGGTGTAATGTTGTACTGTTTCTTTTTCCCAAAAGAGTCTCTAGTGGAACCTAGACTCAGGCTGTGGGTAGGGTGTTTGGGTCAGGGCCAGTTGTAGATGTTCTGGGGTCGTTAAAAGCTGTGTAGTCGTTTAGTATAGAATACGCGACACAGGCGATGATTTGTTTTCCTCACAACTGCTTCCTGTCAAGAATGACCACTCAGGCCAGTCAGCAAGGTATTTGATGATGATGACCAATGGAAATAGAAGGGGATAGGGCCGCACAAATATATATTTCACAGCCTAGCCTAATGCAGAGCAGACCTGATAAGGAGAACTCACCCGGGAACCAAGATATATATCTTTACAGAAATCCCTCTTATCCAGATCAAGCAAGAATAATTGCTGAGGATAAACAAATTGGTCTTCACAGCAGAAATTGGCAACATCTGAGATTACCTTAAGTGGTCTGCACGGAACACACACAAACACACACTCACACACACACACAAATATATAGTAAAAATAGGAAGAGGACCCTTTTCTACCCCTGCGGGCGTATTGGGCATATAGGGCTAGACCTATAATTTATAGACCCATCACAACATTGTGGGTGATGTGGTCAATAGAATCAACAGAACGCCGGCTACACTTACTTCCCAGGACAGCAACTGGTTCCCACTCAAGGCTGGGTCGACCTGGCATCAAAGTTACATTTTTGAAAAAGGTCTTTTCCCTCAGGACCCAACCCACGACCTTTCGATCCGCAAGTTCCCGATACATACTACAATATATATATATATATATATATATATATATATATATATATATATATATATATATATATATATATATATATATATATATATATATATATATATATATATATATATATAGGTTGCACTAGGGGATTTGTTTTTCTGTCGGGAGCAAAAATAAAATCCTAACATGCACAGTCCTTGGCGATAGCACTAGATATGCGGTCCAAAATTTTCAGGCTTCAAGATTGATCCCCCCCCCCCCCCCCATAATCACGTTAACTTCATCGTTTACAGCTGAACCGAACAGACCAAGTCACAATTTTTCGCTTACGCACTGGATGCTGCAGACTCCGCAAACACTCACATAAATTAGTTCTGAGGTAAAGAGCTCTCTGTCAGTGTCTTCGTGCTGAACAGACTCCAGAACATGTGTAGCAAGACTGTCCCTCTCTTGATCGTGCTGCGGAGCTTTGGGGGAAACCTAAAAGACCTCGGGACGACATCCCAGTTTATGGCCCTCAGTGAATTATGCGCATGACCAGAGATCGCTGAAGAAGATTACAATTGCCATGAAAGATTTTCTGTTCATTCTCACGTCAGACGTAATCGGAGACTCCCATGCA